CGGTTTCTCCAATAGCATTACTTTCTATTTTGATAATTCTCAAAATATCTCAAACTTTTTCATAATTCTTATATTTGCTCTGGTGATCTGTAATCATTTATCTTTGATGTTTCTATTGTAATTGTTCAGGGCACCACAAATTGCATCACATAAGACAGAATTCAATAAATAAATGTTACGTGTTCTGACTGCTCTACCAATCTGCTGTTCTCTCCCTCTCCTTGGGCTTCCCTACTACCTGAGACATAATCATATCATAATTAGGCCAATTAATAATAACCCTACAAAAGCCTCTAATTGTTCAAGTGAAAGGAGAAGTCACATGTCTCTCACTTTAAATCAAAAGCTAGAAATGATTAATCTTAATGAGGAAGGTACATTGAAACCCAAAACAGGCCAAAAGCTACGGCTCTTCCACAGTTAGCCAAGTTATGAACACAAAGGAAAAGTTCTTAAAGAAAATTAAGGGTGGCACCTGGGGCTCAAAGGAGGAGGGCTCCGGCCCCATATGCTGGAGGTGGTGGGTTAAACCTAGCCCTGGCCAAAAACTGCAAAAAAAAAAAAAAGAAAGAAAATTAAAAGTGCTACTCCAGTGCCACAAATGACAAGAAATGACAAGAAAGCAGAACAGCCTTACTGCTGATATAGAGAAAGTTTTAATGGTCTGAATAGAAGATCAGAGCAGGTACAAGGTTCCATTAAAACAAGTCTGATCCAGAGCAAGCCCCAAATTTCTTCAATGCTATAAACAACTCTGAGGAAGATAGATTACTCAAGAAACACACAAATGAATACTTACTGTGTTCTTATCATTTTACCATTTATAAGTATTCTGTTTAAAAGTCTTCAGGATAATATTAAAAGGTATTTCACTCTTCTCATAGATTTTGTTTAAGTTCATAATCACTACTTTTCCTGTCAAGAATGCTATGGCTTACACAGTACCTGTGGCTCAAAGGAGTAGGGCGCTGGCCCCATATGCTGAAGGTGGTGGGTTCAAACCCAGCCCTGGCCAAAAACTGCAAAAAAAAAGTATGTTGTGGCCAACAGGATGGAAAAAATAATTTTAAAATCTGAGTTTTTCCCAACCTGGCAGGCCATGGATATCCCTGCAGTAGGTTTCTTATCTTGAAAGACATCAAGCCTAATATACATATGGTTTTAGGAAAGTAAGATTAATCACGAAGTTCCAGTCAATTGAATTTTTTTTTTTT